TACAAGTATAACTAAATTATCAATTTTAATAATGTAAAAATTTATATACATTACATAACGACATTATAAATAAACAAAAAAAGCAATGGAGTGAACACAAACATTTTATAATTGATGTTAACAAAAAAAAAAAAAGCCAATGTAGCGTTGTAGTGCGGGCGGCCTGCTCCGAGACGACATGGGCTGTTAGATCGAGGGGCTTCTCCTGAATATTGGGCACTGCACCATCACGAGTGCAGATCGAGGGGTTTCTCCTGAATATTGGGCAATAGGGAGGACTTCTGACTCAACACTTGATCGAGAAACCCAGGGCTTCTCCAACCTTGCGCTATACTAGTACTCTATTCCATAGTAGTGCGAAAAACCAATGTTCTCAAAACTGGACCGGTCATCGAACCGGTGAAGCTACTGGTTCAATGGTTCAATGACCGGTCCAACCGGTTTAACTAATATATAATTTATTTATTTATTTTATATGTATAATATATAATTATATATATATCATTAATTTTATAGCATATAATGACATTTTTCTAAATAAAAGTTAAAAAATCAATATTTTATGTATAGTTTACCATAAACAATACTAAATAAAGTTCACTAAAACAATATTTTAAGTATAGTTTACTATAATCAATATTTTTAATTTTTTTTATTTCATTAAGTTTTTTTTTTTAATTTTCAGAACCGGTTCGACCGGTTCGATACCGATTCTTGCTCCCACCGGCCTAAACATGCAAACCGGACCGGTACTAGGTCCGGTTCCCGGTCCAACCGGTCGAACTGGCCGGTCCGGTCCGGTTTTGATAACAATGCGAAAAACTTGCTCCAATGTTGCGCTATATTGTCACACTATTTTGAAAATGTGAACAATATTGCGCTAGGTCAAGCACGATATTATTCACCTTGCTACAATTTTTTTCTTTAAATTTTAATTTTTAATTTATTTTTTATTTTTGAATATTATTGTGATAAAATATATATCAATAAAATTATTTATTTTGTTAAATAATTTTAATTTTTAATTTCATATCTATATTTAAATTCTATTTGTACATGTAAACAAAATAATGGTGCAAAAACGAAAGTTAATTTTGGCATTGTTAGAGTAAACTCTAATGGAGTAGTGGATTGGAAATGGTTTAAGAACGACGACCTGATCGGTACGGGATTGGCCGAACACAATTGTGTGTCTATTATTATGTTAGCGCTATATGTTATCAATAAATAATAACATTAAATTAATAATATAACTTTAGAAATGCATCGTTTTTTTTATTTCAGTTTTGTAGGTAAAGTAATTAGATTTTTATGATAAAGCGTGTATAAATAAATACCAAAAAGGTATAATTTAATTTTTGACTTACATTATAAATTGAAATTTCTCTTCAAACTTATATAATATTTTATAAATAATGTTATATTTGTATAATTTTATTTTATAATGATATTTTAAATAATTAAATATGTATAAAATAACATACCTAATTTAATTGTATTTGGATATTAAAATATTTTTTTTTTTTTAAAAAAAAAAGAGGATAAACAAAAAATGTCGTATGTGGAGTAAATATAGAGCGAACGATTAGAGATTAAAATTTAGATTTTTGTTTCACTTGCATTTACTGACCGCGCGTCGCGACGCGACAAATTTGAATTTATAAGTTTTCCTTAACTAACCTCTACTAACTAATAGTAGCGGCGAGTAAAGGTCGATTCCATGAGGAGCAGGAACTAAATGGTGATAATTTGTATTAATTGAACTAAACTAAGAAACAATAAAATAGGGGGTTGAATTGATAAAAATAAAAATAATAAAATAAAATAAAATAAGAAAAGTCCAGTTTTCGGTTCAGTTATCACCCAATCTAAATCTATTGTTAATTAATCTCCACGCCTTCTTTAAATTGCTAATGAATTACCGACCCTAGCTAACAACAAGCTCTGTTAACCGAATTTTCCTTTCCCGAATATTTAATCGAAATAAGCTCTTCGACTAAACTTAACTAGTAGACAACCTAGAATAAACTCTCTAGATTTAATGCACTAGCAGCATTAATTCCTAGGAAAATAGATCAGTCTAAGCAACAAACACAAAAGCTCGGACCATTTAACTTATGTCGTATTACCCTAGAGATGCACGACCCCTAGTTTATTACCAACGAAACGAAACAATAACAATTACGGATCAAAGCCTCGAATCTAGCAATTAAGCTATGAATATTCAACGTAGCAGGCCAAACTAAATCAAACATCATAATTCCTAAACATTATATGCAGATAACACGAATCAACTCATCAACAAAAATAAATATGACGTCTCGATTAATCAACGGAAGAAATAAATCATTCATTTCATAGACAAATTGAAATTTGGGTTCAAATTTTCACTCAAATTGGATAAAATTTTTAGCCTAACATATTATAGAAATACGAACTAAATAAAACAGAGAATAAATATATCCTCTCGTGTGCGGGTGCGGCTTTTCTTGGCTCCTTTTTTTTCCCCTGCTCTCTGTTCGCTTCTTTTTTTTTTCTTGCGCCTTTTTCTTTTGTGCTCGACCAATCAATCACCCGGCGGCTCTCTCCTCCAATATTTGTGTCCTAATAAATTGAAACTCCTCTGAATTTTACGCACCTTTTCGTAAAAATCCTCCAAGCTTCTTCAAATTAAGTCAACTAATTTCACTTCAAAATGGGCCAAATCAAACTATTTTACATGGCCCAAAGATGTGTTTGTAGGAATTTGTAGATGGGTTGCGTGAGTAATTAATTAATTCATGGAACTTTATTTTGGACCCACGTCATTTTCACCCGGGCCCATTATCCAACGTTATTAGAATATTCTTCAAATTGCTCAAAATAAAAAACAAAAATATCAAAGTATATAAATTCATCTAAATAATGAATAAGTTGAAAAGTATAACATGCAAATAAATCAAATGTATAAAAATAGACTATTAAACATATAAAACGTGCACATTTTTCGACCTATCATGTGGTCATAGAATAAAGTAATTTTTACACTAAAATAGATATAAAGACTGGAGATGAGATCTAGTCTTGCGTAAATAATCTCTAATCTGTATATATATCTGCACTTGAGTTGCTTTTATGTAATTAATCACTTTAATTCAATTTCTTCAAAACTAATATATAAACAAACAAAATTTTCGTAAACATGAGTCACACTACAAAAGACAAGATCAATATCAAATAATTTGAGAAATTAATTAATAGTAATTAATTCTTCTTTTAGGCGTGAAATATAGAAAGAAAGAAAAAAAATGGAGAAATGTTACGGTCCCGTTAGGGACGGACGCAACCCTTAAAGACAACGGAGACACAAGCGGTCTACGCCAGATGTCAAGTTGTCAACGGTTAAATAAATATGTAACAATTAAAAAAAATGAAATCATAACCAGACACCTTGTTTTTTATTTTATAGCTAAGATTGAGTCTCACATTCTCATTTTAAGAATAGAGACATATTTGATCCCAACCATATCTATATATATATAATCGCTAGCATGTAGCATTTAATAAAACTTATTTAATAAAACTTCTAACATTTTTCCCTCTATTTTCGGTTACAAAATTTAACATTAATATTTTTTACTTCTCACGTTAATACATCATATTAAGTGTAATCATGTATTTCTCCTATTATATTATATAATAGTTATTGCTAATACCAACTAATAATAATTCACAATAAATATAAATTACTTAATTATAAACAATTGTTTCAAGTTATTTATACTAACATCAATATTATCTTGTCCGTTAAAAATAATTGTAATACTTTTCTAATTAATTAAATGTATGGTCCCACTAGATTACTAATTTCATACGTAAGTTAAATAAATTTTATTTACATTATACATTTGCATATAGTCAAAATTTGAAATGTAATGCATCCATTATCTAATATAAAGTTTTATATATTGTTGTACCGAATAAAAAAGTTTTATATATTGTATGCATTCATATAATAAATAATATTTTTTTTTGTGCATATGCACAGGATGAATACTAGTATATATATATATATATATATATATATATATATATATAAGGATTTGTTTACATATTTTAGGAGAAAAAATGAAATAAACAAGAAGTTGAGTATAACATAAACATAAATTACACAATTTATAAAATAACATACTATTTGAAGTTAAATAATTCTAAACATTTCATTTTTATTTTCTTATATTGAAATAACTTTGCATAATAATTAATAACATGTATTTTTTATGTCAATATAATAATAATAATATATTTATACATATAACATATATATACTATATTATTAAAAAAATTCTACAGGGGCTGTGCCCTTACGGCCCCTATGTAAGTCTGCCACTGGGTCCCGTTGCGGAATCATTCTGTCGGGGTTTGTAATCGTTAGATCATCATATAACCCTCAAGAATAGGTGATCTAACAAACCCAACGAAAT